TTAGGAACAGTAGCTTTATGTTGGCATGTGGAAGGCAGGGGTTAAGTCAGAAAAACAAAGGTTTGTTGGGTCAAAATAATACAAAGGACCTTGTCTTAAGTATTTCTAAATGTATTGTCACAAAGTGCATGTAACTGGAAGGAACATGAACACAGAAAAACGTTTTAACTGTATCACTCTATAGTCATTTGATCTGCATCCACTAAACAAATTGTCTAGGCACAGCAGGGGATTGTTTATAGAATATAAGGCCATAGTTTCATCTTTCCACAAAGTAGCAAAAAACCCACCAGTACATGTTTGTTTTAAGATCACAGAGTTAATCTTTGTAGACCTGCTACTGTGACAAAAAAAATATTCCTTAATACTCGATCTAAAACCTTTGTTTCTTTTTATAAGTAATTGGAAGTTATTGTTTTTGCAAAGGGTGCAACAAAAAAAAAAAAAGTTTGTGAAAAGAAAATGCTGCATGAAATTACAGTATCTGAGATCCATTGTTTGACATCCTTGACTGGAAAATTATATGGTATACAGAATATTCTCTGAGTAATAATCTACATCAAATGAGATGTTGGCTCCAAGTACTTTTGGGTTATTGGAGCTCTAGATTTTGCCTTTAGAACTACAGGGAAATTTTTTGTTCCCTGGATGATACTGACAGTGTCTTTAGACTGACAGTGAAAATTTCAGTCAGTTTTTAAGGTAGCACCTGGAGCTATTTGTCACAGAAAGGAATGAGAGGTCAGAGCTGTGCACTAGAATTTATTTCTGACATTCTTGGAGTTCTCAAGAGTTTTGGCCTGTCTTTAAAGTAGAGTTTAGGAATGCTAAACCCTAAACGATTCAAGTGATTCTGTTGATTAAATCTTGTTATCTCTTTTACCTGTCAGCCTATATGAATGCAATAATCAGCATTTGGAACATTCATGAGCTTTTAAATGAATTATAATTCAGCATGATTATGGATCATCTTTTGAAAAAGAAACAAAGCCATTTCAGATGTAGTGTGGCTTTGAGCATGCATTATTGTGGGATTAATCCAAAGGATATATACTCAGATGTGAGCTCTAGTATGAAGCCACATTTAGACACATACTATGTTGGTACGGCACTTGAGCTATGTTGGTTTTGATTTTTTCCTAGTGGGTTATAAAAGTGAGAATTTCAAACATGAACAGGGCAAAACTATCGGCACTAAACCTGGTTTAGTCAATAGTTTCTCTGCAGATCGGGTTCATTACTAACTTGGATGAGAACTGCACTTGGGGTCTATTCCAGAGCTGTGATGAGTCAACCCATATGAAAAATACTTCAAGCATCTGGTCACAAACTTTCAGCTTTTTTTGTTAATGAGGGGTAGAGGAGTACAAATTATTATTTTCTGTATTGCAGTTACAAAGACTCCACTTAACTGTGCCCTTAGGGGATGGATGCACAGTGAATAGGATGGTTGTTTCTAATATTCCTGCTTCTCAGAGGTTATAGCTACTGAATCAAATTCTTCTTCGAGAGAGAAGTACTTTATTTATTCTACTGATGACCAAGATGGAGAGAGTACTGACTGTTAGGTTATGTGATAAAAGGCCTGTCTACACACACAGGAAGGAGCGCAGAAGTAGAGGAACCCAAGTAACACCCTGCCAGCACTCCTCCAGGACCATCACAGGAGAGCCATAACCACAGACCAGAGGAGCACAAAGGCAGGCAGGGGCACCAAAATTACAGACTGAAAGAAAGAGATGCCTGGTTTGGCTCCTCAGGGGGCTGTGCTGGAGTAGTTTCAACCCATCAGCATGGACTGATAAATTCACTAGCTAGCTGTTCCTTGAGAAGGCCACATCTTAGTAATCAGAGCTGAAAACAGGCTAATTTACCACCTTCTGAAGCACTACCCTCGCTACTGCCCACCATTTGCATGCTTTCAAGGGGAACCATGTGACACCCTTGTCATTTGTCAGCAGTACTAGTTCTGCCCTGCAGCTAGATTGTGCAATTTCTGATTTTTAGGTACGGTAGGTTTAACTTACAACTGGGAGATGTTCAGTCACTGTGGTGCAGATCTGCTTTGCCTTTGGTGCTTTTCACAAAGAAGGCTGATATGGACATGATCTACCTAACATGGGCTTGATTTTTGTTCACAAGTTTATTACTCAATGCTTTTGGGTAACTGGCTTCCCAAGCCTTCTAGCTATGTCTCCGAGCCTCTCTAGGCTCATTTGCATGGAAGTGCTTTTCTTTCAGCACTGTATCCTGCTCTCATTTTATCTCATCTCACCTTGTACCTTAGAGGAGTACTGGGACCAGAGGTTCTCGTGCCATGAGGGGAGCAGCCTGTGCAGACACTCTCTTCTGCATAACAGCAGCAAAAGAATAGCAGTGTTGAGAATGTGACCTAGAAGCGCCAGGTTCCTCAAAATCGTGACTAGAATATCATTCTTGGAAGGAGGACTATCCAGGTGCAATCAGTTTGGCCTGTCATTCATTCTGTTTTTGCAAGAACAAAGCCTGTAGGGAAGTATTGTGTTTTTACTTTTTTCTAACAGAGCGCAATAACTGCTGAGTACTTGAAATCATAATCAGCCTGTCTCTGACTGTAGCCAGTTTCCGCACTTTCAATTCTGCCTTTGAAACTGTGGTTTCATTTTGTATTTGAGAGATGCTGGTCTTCCCTCAGGTCTCAAAAGAAAGCTGAATTTGCATTATTACCCCTGGATAATGGATACAGAGAGACAGTCGATTTGATGTACACTGTGATTAAGGTTGAGCATGCATCTGTTTTGAAATTTTTAAAATTGGTTTTAAATCTAGCTTGAGTGGCAATTTAGTAAATAGGGGTACTTGTCTTAGCTTCTGTCACTTTTCAGAGGTCATGCTGTTTTAAAAGTGGCACGTTATTTTGTATTGTGTATTTTGTGTATTAATTAATTCCAGTGAGGTTTAATGATAGGCTTTCTAAGCATTGCTCAGCATGCTCTAGAAGAGCACTGCTTTCTTTGATGTGAGGAGGCATGGGGCTGTGGTGGGGAGAATTTAAGGACACTGTTGTTCTAGCAGTCATGGCTGCCTGTGTACATTATCAAGCTTGAAAGGCCTTCACAGCATTTCAGGCGAGATGAACTAGCACTGATTGTGGTGGGTGACTGAACACATTTTCCTTCAGAGCTGCTCAGTAACAGCTGACAAGAACAGTTTTAGGAAGGCTTCTGGTGAAGCTCATTGTATGTGTCTTTATTGCCACCTTCTGGGAAGGGAGAAAAATAATTCTTGAGTAGACTTCTACAAACATCACGTCCTTTATTTTTGACAATATGCATGCTAACTGTTTTCTTGTACAAGTACATTCATATTGGTAACAGAAGATAAAAGTATGTGCAAAGCAAAAATATTATGCTCTTGATGCTCCCGGGGAGATCACTCTACTTCACTCTCTTTTCTTTCATCGTTATTTTGCATTTTCTGTAAATAGCCTATTTCCACAAGCACTTCTGTCTTAGGGGGCTTGGGTTTTTTAGCTTGTTCTTGTAAGCAATAAGATTGCAAAAAGAAACATATCTTGGCATAAGCAATTAGTAAAGGTGATATTTCTTCAAAGTGCTCTTTAAAATCTATATGCAACTTGAATTTAACAGCATCTTTATTTTAATGGAAAGCAAGGTGGAATTTTTCAGAAGCATTCATTCCTAATCTGTACTTAGTGATGTAAGTGGAATTTTTTGGGGTTGTTTTGGTTGTGGGTTTTTTCTTTAATTTCTGTAAGAATGTTTAAGCCATGAGCAAATATTTTATAATAGTCTACTTCCAGATGTATACTACAGCCAGACTAGATTACTGAAGAATTACATATATGGAAAAGAGGGGAGCACTGCTTAATTCATGTATTAACAATGCATGTTTAATTTAACTATTACTGTAATTTATGGAAATCATGTAGAGGCTTCAAGAAATTAGATCCTGTTGCATTTGAGAGGAAGGGCAGAAATGAGCCATGAAGTAAATTGTATCTTTTGACTGGTAATTCTGAGAGACAGATATTGACACAGTCAAACAATATCTAGTATAGTATTTTATATGTATATATATTTTTATATGCTATATATTATATTTTTATATAGTTTCTATGTTATATACAGTATATAAACTATATTATGTCTTTATTTAAATAAACATATATTTTAACATAGAAACAAAACTAAGGAAAATAGGACAGGAGCTAAATGGATAAAGCATCTCAGATTACATATTAGACTATTTAAGGTGGGAGACTATAAAACAGTGACCTGCCTATAGTCAAGTAGGGGAGTATGTCGCAGAGGCAAAAGCATATTTCAATTTCTAGAATGCTAACCATAAGGTTACCAGTTTCCCCAGTTGTTATACCCTCCCACACTCCAAATTAAATAGCATTCTTGCATCTCTGCTTGGATTTCTTGCAGTTTCTGTAAACCTTTCTAGTCTGAGGAATGAAATAGCATTTTCTTCTTCCCCTCTCTTAAATGAAGTTTTCTGTTTAGTTGCTGTCATCTCAATAACGAGACTACCTTCTGCAATCTGCAAGTAGATTTCAGTCGTAAATTTTAACCCATGTAAAGCCAAAACATGCCTTGAGCAATTCCTGAGAGTGCTTCTAAAATGAGTTAAAATGTGAGGGCGCAGTGTGATAGTAATGTCACTTACAATTTTTTCCCATGTTTTTTCATCACAATTAAAGTCACACATGAAGCTAGTGGCATTAGAGCATTAGCTGTTGTCCAGGTAAACAGTTTTAATGAAACTGTACTGAAGTAAATTCTGTGTCTGAGTATAGATTTTTTTTGCAGCCTTTACGTATTTGATGCCTTGAAACCAGTGTCCCACTGTAGATGATGCCCACTGACAAAGATAGTATATATTGTAAGGTTTCAGCAGACCTCTAATTCCTTTTTTGGTAAACTGGCTCTCCTTAAAAAAACAAAATAATTGGACTGTGCCATAACAAGATCCTCTGTGGTTTTTTTCTTCAGGTGAAAAATGTGTTTTGTATGAAGGCAAAGGAAGGCAGAAAAAGATCAATACATGCCTTAGTGGCTATTGGAAATGGTAAAGGGGCTGCAGGTATGTGTGTTTTCTGATTGTAAAAGATGCCAAAGTAATCATTGCTTGTAATAGGACTTCAGGAGACGTGATGACTTAAAGAAAATTTACCCTTTTTCCCACTGGCCAATATCGAAATACCTGTAAGAATTTTTAATTTCATTTATAAAAGTAAGCTTTATAATCAAATTAGGTATGTATTCGTTTGGACACTTTGTTTTATATAAAAAAAACGAAGTTGGAAAAAGTAGTAACATGATTAGTTTTGGAGCATATATTATCCAGTGGGAAAAAAAAATTTGTTTAGAGTGATAGAACTAACGACAGGTCGAACCTACCAGAAGGGATCATGTGTGCTTTCCTGTGCACTGTTCATTTTACTGTTGATACTGTTTATGTTTTTAAAAAAATCAAAGCCTGAAAGTATTCAGACACACATATCTGCATTTGTTTCACCTAGCCACAGAGTATAGTTGTTTACTCTTGAGAGTAAACAACTACAAAAGAAAACAACCAGGCACCTGAAAATTCTAGGGGACCTGGAAACTTGAGTCCTTTGTGTCTGGTCTCATAGTGACCTCAGTCATCTGTGGCTTGACCCATTTGTAGGCTTTCTTCATTATGACTCTTTGTAACAGTCTCTTCAGCAAGCAATTTGAAGTCGAACCATGGAAATGCTGTCTACAGCATAAAATAAATAGGATGTGTGGTGGGGTTTTGGTAGCAGGGGAGGGGGTTACAGAGGTGGCTTCTTGAAGCTCCCCCAGCTCCAAGTCGGACCCACCTCTGGCCAAGGCTGGGCCAGTTAGCGATGGTGGCTGTGCCTCTGAGATAACATATTTAAGAACAGGAACCTGGGAGGAGGAGTTGGAGTTTTGAGGAGGAGTAGTGAAGGAGACATGTCTGCAAACACTGAGGTCAGTGGAAGAAAGAAGGGAGAGAGGGAGGTGTGCCAGAGCAGTGACTACCCTATAGCCCATCGTGTGAGGGCAGGCTGTGCCCCTGCACCTGTGGAGGTCACTGGTGGAGCAGATGCCCTCCTGCAGCCCATCAAGGACCCCACACCAGAGGAGGTGGCTGTACCCAAAGGCTGGGATTCTGAGGGAAGTACACACTGGAGCAATCTGTTCCTGAAGGACTGCAGCCTGTGGGAAGGACCCGTGCTGGAGCAGGAGAAGAGTGTGAGCAGTCCTCCCCTTGAGGAGGAAGAAGCAGTAGAGACAACAGATGATGGACTGACTGCAATCTCCATCCCCTGCCCCCCTGTGCTGCTGGCAGGGAGGAGGTAGAGAAATCAGGAACAAACAGAGCCCAGGAAGAAGGGAGGGGTGGGGGAAGGTGCTTTTAAGACGTGGTTGTATTTCTCACTGTCCTCTTCTGATTGTTTTAGTGATGGTGGTGTTCAAATTAAATAATTGATGTTTTTTTCTTCCCCAGTGGAATCTTGCCCATGACCATAATGGGTGACTCATCCCTCCCTGCCCTTGTCTTGATCCCCAAGCCTTTTTTTTTCTTTCCTGTCCCTGAGGGGGAGGGAGTGAACTGTGTGGTGTTGACCTCTGGTCTTAAAACACGACAGACAAATCAAAAGACATGTAAAATTATGAGGGATCGTATAATACAAGCTGTGAAAAGAGACCTTCTTCTTCAGCAGGAGGAAGAATACTGGTTAGAGGCATTCCATTTAGTTGTGATTTCCTTGTAACAGAGCTATAAGCATGGTTATGTGTGCAGGGTAGTGATGACCAAGCTATGTCTAGAAGCAATCAAACCATCTCAGTGCAGCATCTAACTTGGATTAAATAACCCTATATCCCAGCACAAAGGCACTATGCAGCTACCCTGTACACCAATGAGTTTCTTGCTTGTTTCCAGTTCTGTTGAGGAGATAGTGTTTATCTTTCTCTCAGTTCTCAGATACCAGGAGTTAAAGACCTTTTTTTTTGTTGCAGGATTAAGTTTTATTTAAGAAGCACTCTTGAGTGTGCTAAATTTTTCTCCATAAGGAGATAGTTTTCATGCATTCTCTGGTGGATACAAACCGATGTATATTAAAATTCGGTTAGGCCCCAAATAGACTTAGAGATAAGACAGCTGTAAAGGATTAAAAGAAGAATCAGCTAAAAAACCCCCAGAAAATTAATAGCTGTGAAGTAAATAATCCAAATAATATAATCTAAATAATAGAGAATTCCTACCTATATCAGGAGGCAAGAATATGGCATATATTATATTGTGTATATAGTGTACAGGAAATTGCATTTGCATTGCTGTATGACTCTAGTAAAGAAAATCCTGCTTTCAGTATATATGCAGAGCATCTACATTTTGGCTGTAAATAATCTCCTTTTATTATGAACTGAATAGATATCTCTGATGATGGGCTGTATGTGGGAACTTTAATAAGACAACTCTATTTCTGTAGTTTTGCAGAACTTCATTTATGTAAAAGATTCAAATCCAGAGCTGTTCCTCAATTTTAATTACAGTTTGGAGGGGAGGAAAATTTATATGTAGTGGAAGGTGTGGTTCTCCAACAGAAAGATATGTTAATCTGAAAAATTCTTCATACCTCCTCTCTGAAAAGCTTTTTCATGAAATAACGTTATCACTTTAATCCATATGGACTGAATGATTGAATTGAGGTTGCCCAGGCAACCTCATTTGTGGCATTTTCTAACCTATTGTGTCACTTCACAGTATTAATGCAATGCTATTGTGCTTTGTGTGTGTGTTTAAAAGAATACCAGTTTCCTTGCATTTTCTTGTGCAGGAGTTAGAAAGTGACAGAGACTTCTGGGTGCAGGCATGGGGAAAGCTGTCTCAAGAGGTAGCTGATAGCAGACACTACGCTCTCTGCTTCTTTCACAGCACCACAATAGTCGGGATGGTATTTCTTTCCTAGATCTTTTCCAGCCCATTTCTCCTGTAATGTCTGCATGAAATTCATGAGTTGGTGTTGGCCAGTGGTTCCAATCCCATTATTTTTTGAACTAGACTTTTAGATACAGGTAACCTACAGCCCCAGCTGACACAACAGAAACATCAAAGGACCAAACAAGCTAGATCTCCTGATCTGAAGTTAAATAATTTTAATTCAATCTACCTTGACATTGTTGGACTACAGTTTGTAAAAATGGTTGTCACGTCCTCTTATTCATTCCATACAGTCAGTTGCTGCCCTGCTCTGAGCTGACTGCAAATACTCCAGGACTGCTGTGAAATCTTTCATTGCTACCACAGTTGACCTGGTAAATAGGAGTAGGTCTGAGGGTTCAGAGAGAATTAGGTAACAGTTTGTAAATCAGCAGTCTGTTTTTCCTCTGTTCTACAGGCACACATTTATTGCAAATTCACTATTGTGCTAAACCTGGTTTTCATATTCTTTATTTCATTAATAGAAACCCGATCTCCTCGTTTGCTTCTAGGGTCTTGGAGCTACGCTTTGTACAGATGTAATTGATATATCTGCATCAACTTCCTTTTTTTTTTTTTTTTTTTTTTTTTTTTTTTAGCCATCACCACTATTCAATTGTTTGGAACAAGTTTGGAAAAATACACAAAAGAAATAAATTAAGCCTTATTTGTTTTCATTTGACAACAGGCTATTGGCATCCAGTTGTTAGGTATTCATAACTCCTAAACTGTTTACTTCTGAGGTTTCTGTGGTTTTCTCTGGACCATTTTATGAATATGATCTGTGCAATGCAGTGGAAATAACAGATACTAAAAGCGTTTGTGAATTTCTTTGGGTTTTTTCCCCCTTTGCTTCTTGAAGGTCCTGCCTCATCTGTTTCCCAGTAATAAAATTACTCTCTTCTGTCTTGCAGGTTTTGCGATAGGGAAAGCAGGTGACAGGATGAATGCTTTACAAAAAAGTGTGTTGACTGAATTGTTGCTTGATGACAAGCACAAATAATTTGTACCTACACTGGTTTTTTTAGTAATCTATATTTTGCAGACTATGCAAAGAAGTAAGTCCATGTACATGATTTGCCCATCGATACAAATAATCAGAGACTCATTTAGGTTGGAAAAGACCCTTAAGATCGAGCACCTAACACTGCCAAGTCCACTGCTAAACCATGTCCCTAAGTGCCATATCTACACATCTTTTAAGTACCTCCAGGCATGGTGACTCAACCACTTCCCTGGGTAGCCTGTTCCAGTGTTTGAGATCCCTCTCAGAGAAGAATTTTTTCCTAATGTCCAATCTAAACCTCTCCTGGTGCAACTTGAGGCTGTTTCCTCTCATCCTACTGCTTATTACTTGGGAGGAGGGACCTACACCCACCTCACTCCATCCTCCTTTCACGTAGTTGTAGAGAGCGATGAGGTCTCCTTTCGGGCTTGTCTTCTCCAGGCTAAACAACCCCAGTTCCCTCCTAGCCTCTCTAGACCCCTTACCAGCACCATTGCTCTTTGGACACATGTAATGAGGTTGCCCTGCAATGAGATTCCATTAATGCACTCTTTATTTTCTTTCTAATCCCTGTTCTATGGCATATACCTATTCCCCCTTGGTCACCTGTTCCAATATCTATATAGCATACAATCTGCTTGTACAGTTAGCGTGTACGAATCTTTCTCTTACACACGCATAATGACCTTATTAAGACTCCTCTAGACTTCAAAATGTAACTTATCTATCTGCATCGATCTAGTTTGTGTTGTAATGCTCAACTAAGCTATCAAAGTAGCAATTCTAAATACACAAAGTTTGATAATGGTGTTACCATACTGAGAAATCTTTTAAATATTAAATCTGTCAGGAGAAAGCAGTTCTTTAAAGAGGACGTTTTCATTTCCATAAAATAAATGGTTTAGATGTGGCAAACCTACACTTTCCCAAGTTTTCTTTCTTGATTTTTTTTCTTGTCTAGTTAACTGAACAATGGTAAATTTCAAATACTTTTCAGAAAAAAATCAAGAAAAAATGCTTTCTTCTTTTATTCCCTAGGCAAAGAATAAAGCAATACGCTGCTTACATTATATAGAGCTGTATCAGAACCACACAAGTAAGTATTACGATATATATATATATATATATTTATTTTTTTTTTTTAGACTCTAACTTTCAGTAAGCACTGAATGTACCAAGGGGAACTGGTTGCAACTAGTTACAAAGTGTAAAAAATATGTTAACAAACCTTTCAGATCCGATACATTGTGTCATTCTTCGTGCATGATTTTGATTCTTCAGCGTGCTGCATGAAATCTTAGCCCCAGACTGTTTTAGCTAGACAGTGGTAATGTCAGAGTAGGTAATCTGTCAGTCCCTGTGCAAAATGATTTACCATTACCTGGAATTAATATGTGGTTTACTCTTTACTGTCACTCAGGTTTGCATCAACAGTTGTAGGAAAGTCCATGAAGAAAAGTTGGAATTACATAATACAAGATGTTGTTAAAATACTGAGATATTGATCTCCTTTCTAGTCTCCTGCCTTTGCTGTGAAAGATGGGGACAGACTTTTTAGTAGGGCATGTTGCAGTAAGACAAGGGGTGATGGTTTTAAACTAAAAGAGGGTATATTTAGACTAGATGCAAGGAAGATATTTTTTACAATGAGGTGGTTAAACACTGGATCAGGTTGCCGGAGAGGTGGTAAGTGCCCCATCCCTGGAGACATTCAAGGTCAGGCTGGACGGGGCTCTCAGCTACCAGATCTAGTTGAAGATGCCCCTGCTTATTGCAGGGCGGTTGGACTAGATAACATACAAAGGTCCCTTCTGACCCAAACTATTTGATTCTATGATTCTGTGTTTAAAATCTAGATGCTTAATGCATAATATTTCAGGCTCTTTAAAAATGGGGGCAGAGGAAGGGAGTAGTAGCAAGATGAAATATCTGCCGGCACAGTTTGAGTTCAGGAAGTAGGATAATGTCTGAGCATCTCTACTCTACAGTGAACTCCTCTGTGCTTTTCCCCTTTGTATGTGAGAGATGATTCACTGTTAACTCAGTCCATGTATGCTGACAAAGCCCAGCAGCTGGGGAGAATGTGGGCAGGAGAAGTCAGTCTGATGTTTCATGGTAGCGTTTTGTTAACTCAATTTAGTACCATGCAAGTCCTCTCTGATGTCAGACGTGGTACCAGTATACCAAAGATTCAGTTATCTTCCAGAAAAATTTTGAAAGATAGTACTTTACAGAGTATATGAATATTTAACCAAATCATTGTGTAGATATACAGAATAATAAAACTTCAGCTTACAAATACAAAACTGCAGTTATCCTCATGAGTCTATGTCTTGAATGTTATTATTTCACACACAGACTGGGGATTTAAATAAAAACCGGTGGTGTTTCCACTGTGCTTTCCTTTTCCTTAACACAGAGATCTTCTGAGCCATCTTGATTGCAGTGCTAGAATCTCCTATGCAGAGACTGAGCCACTGAATCAAATGTATATAAATGTATATAACAGCCACCCACAAGAGGATATGAGTTTGGGCTTCCTTTTGAAGCAGAGAGAGGCAGGCAGACTGGAATGGTAAATGTTCTGTGTGGAACATCCAAGAATGCTGAAGCCTATGGGGAAATCTTAGGTTAAAATCTGAATTGTTGGAAAAATCTGAGTATGAGGAGGAAGGTTAAGTTGTATCATGTGAGCTCATTTCAAAGCCAAATGAGGATTATTGGAGGCATAGACACTTCATATTTTTCAAGTGAAGCTTGGTTTTGTTTATAATAGTAACATAGTATTTACAGATGTGTAAACATACCTGATCTATTCCAGAAATTTACCTAGATTAACCCATCTCTTTGAAGAACTCAGAGGAGAGTAAAACAAACTTCCTGTTCACAGTTCTGAAAAAGAAAAGCAGCCCTTAAATGTGCTGAGCTAAAGCTTTTCTAGAAGGAATTTAGCTGTAATGCTTTTTTTGTCCTTTCCTCCAGTTTACCATGACATTACAGTGAAATTTAAAAGGACAACCATCCACATGAAGAAGCAAAACAAAGGTAATTAAAGCTGCTTGGAAATTTTGGAGTTTTATTAATTACTGGCTGATATTTATTTGATGAAGTTAAATTTGTGTAATGTCTATTTATTTCAGAGATGGATCATTTGGTGCTAGTCTACCATGTTTTAAATATCGAAGATGATCAGTTCTTTTTCATTAGAAATACCTACTGTTGATGACGTGGCTTTGTTGTTGTAAATCGGGATTTGTCTCTCTTACACTGGTGGGAGCCCTATTCTTGGTTTTCTTTCATGCTTCCTAAGTGTAGTTTGATTGGCTCTAAATTACCTAAATGTGGAGAAGGCTATTAGTATAGACGTTGGAGGTAAAGGCCTTTAGAAGAACCCTGCAGGTTTTTATTCCCACCATATGCCCCATACATTTGGAGAACTGATAGGCTCGTTCCATTATTTTTCAGTGATGATTTTTTTTTATTATTTATTGTTTTCAAAACAAGATTCAAAAGTAGTTTACTATGCAGTAGTGGGACTGCTTCAAGTGGGAATCACAAGTGCAAGCTGGATCTGTGTGCCTGTCCCTCCTAAGCCCATACTGGGATAGCATGGGCTGATGTCCTTCCTCAACTGCCTTAGACTACCTGTGGTCAGGAGCTGGAGCCAGGACAGCATCCAGCCGGCTACTTTGAGACCATTACTGATTTATTTTCCCTAAAATCAAGAGCTTCCAGCGGTGAAGCTAGAGGGATTATCTACCCTGGCTTGTTGTCCTGCACTGTACCAGCACAAAGACCATCTCATAGTTACACAGTGGTAGTGGTTTTTTCTCCACCTTTGCAACTTCTTCTTCATTTTCATAGCACTTGTAGACTCCTGTAGGTTGAATGGGAGTAGTAGTGAGTCCATGCCTGTTACCTCTCAGTTCCCAGGCTTGTTCTTCCACAAAGCTAGTGTTAAGTGATATTAGATGTGCAACTGCCTCCTCCAGCCACTTCGGCTCAGGACCCTCCTGCCCAGTACCCAGGGCCTCTGCCCAGGCCAAGGGATGTGGCTGTTACTTTCCTGTTTGCAGGTTCAACCAGCAGCAGAGCTGACTGTGAATCCCAGACACACGGATACACACAGATACTGACACAGCTGGCCACAGACAAGGTGCTGCCTTCAACAGCACCTACGTACAGGACTCGCATAAACACAGTCAAGTCCATTCCTCCTCTCTGGCTGGCAGAAATAGATCACTAGTGCAGGCACACAGAGCAGTTTCCAGGTTCACAAGCACACATTTGTGCATCCATCAAGTACCAGCACGACCTCTCTGTGCACCCAGCACCCTTGCCTAAATTCTCTTACCTGCTTCACAGGTCCTCTATTTGCTGGCTGGTTTAGCTTGATGCTTACTAGCCAACATGCATGCACTCCTACACTTGTTCCTTATCCACTCACATTCACAAATTTCCCTGGGTATACAGGCATTGACCCCCTGCCCACCTGATACCCCAGTCCAGACCTGAGCCCCCCTACTCACAAGCTAGTCCAGCTTAAAGTTTGCTAGTGCAAATGCATGCCTCACACACACACCAGGACTGGGGAAGGTAGAGATGCTTGGCACCCCCCAGCAGCCACCACCAGGCAGACAGGCTGTTACCTGTGGTCCTGCTCCAACCACTGTCAGTTCTCACACCCCTCCTGGTCTGGGTCTCCCCTGGTTTACAGTCTTAACAGTTGCAAAGTCCAGGTTGATCTTCCTGAAAGTGATACCTGTAGTTTCTTGATAGCCCATCAGTTAGTGGCAATGTTTGTTTCTTGTCATTCTCTCTACCTTTGTTTTCTCAGGTCTGTATTTCTGTATATTTTGTTTTTGATTTCCTCTTTTTCCCCTCAGTTTCCCAGTTGACAAGGACCCCAATCAGATAACCTCACTAGAATGAACATTCTCAGTCTCACATGCTCTCATCAATAAGTGTAGCTGACCATGTTTGATTCTCATCAATGCCTCCCTTATCATTTGTCAGTCATGTTTGTGTCTCTGTATGTTCTTGTCACTCTCCTTCAACATAACAGCTACCAGTCCACTGGAAGTACTTGCAATTAAAAGTCCACAGTGCTACTAAATTGCTGTCAGTAGTTGTGAAATATGGCAACTCAGCATGTCTACCATCAACAGTTCTAGACCAGCAAGACACAGCACAGATTTTATCATCAGACTGGTAATTGATGGAGGGTCATGACTGTGTTCCCCTCCTGGCTTTAGCCAGAGATACACAGCGCACCATGCATTGTTCCTCAGTTGTGTGTGTGCTGTCTCTGATAGCTTACACACGAACACTGACCTTTTGAAGATACGTTGCTGACTTTCTGCTATCACTCTCCTCGCCTTCAGAGCTGTTGTGATATGTGCTTTGCCAGTCATTTACAATAACAGGGATGCATCCAGGACAACCTTGTAAACTGCTGTCATGTTCTTCAGGATTGCAATAAAAAAGTTTTAACACTTGAAGTAGTTTGGGGAGCTAAAGGTTAGCTTATCTTATTTCTATTGCATTAGTTTTCAGTGTCATCCATTTTACCTTCTTGGGTCTTTCTGTTTTGAAGACCTGCATTGATGGCATGACGTCATTTCATTGCATGAATCTTTAGTTAGACCTTTATGTACAAAGGTTTGATTTGGCTTGTTTTGTCTAACTTTGCTTTCAAAACAGATAAAGGTAGCTGCTGTTCTATAGAAAACAGATTTAGTTTGCTGCTCATTGGTGCACTCTTAATTGGTCCTCTAATTTTAATATACAAATAGGAAACTAATTAATTTATGTGGCTAGTTGCGGCGGGCGGAGGAAGCAAGCAGCCGATTCAATGTGAATGATAGAGCAAGCTTCCACTTTATTGAAAGAAATCACACCTTATATAAGCACTCCACAATAATCATACATACTACTCACAAATCTATTGGATACATGTAAAAGGCTACATTATAATATCCCAGCCCCTTGTGGCATCTCAGGCATGTCACAACACCTTCCTTCTTCTGGCCTGCTTTCTTTCTCAAGGTTGTTTACCATCACACTCAAGGCCATTGTGTCCTTCAGTTTTTCTCTTTGTTAACATAACAGTCCTTTGTTAGCATAACTGTACCCTGGGTTTTTCCTTTGTTTACCTCAGATGGCTGCAATCAGCTTCTGCAGGGAGCTATGGCCTTGCTCTCTGCAAGCCGTTCTCCAACAGCTAGTTCTTTGTAAATCACTTCTGTTTCATTATGATAAGATCTAAACTGCAAGACGTTTACTGATTAGTTTATTATAGGTCAGAAACTTGGGTAATTTTCCAGTCATGCTCAACTATTTAATTCATCAATTTCTACAACCTTTGAATAAGTTGAAGCATTGACGCTTTGGACATACTATTTGATTTTGTGTATCTGGTATTCTTGTTCTGCACTGTCACATTAGTAATATGAGAATATAATTATTAATAATCTAAAATTGCTATGAACTTTCAACACAATAGATGACATTTTGATTCTGAGGTGAAGGGGTTTTTTAATCAGTGTGACATCGACTTAGAAAAATTTTTACAAATTAGCAGATACAGAGTCAGACTGTCTTATTGTTTGTGGTTTTGCAGTTTTTCTGCATTTAAGGAGCTTTCAAGGTGGTAAATCAGGTAATTGGGCTATAATTTTTAAGATAACCACTTAAATGAAACTTCAGTTTAGTCTTCAGTATAATGAATTAAAAACATGCACGGAGCAAGTGTAGCACAACTGAACTACACATTTGAGCATGTACATACGAACGAATGATGCTATTGCTGTTAAATGGTAAAGGAAAGTTCACATTAGATGTTATTTTCTTGTAGTGGAACATAGAATAAGACATATCTTCCCAACTCATCTGACATGAACCTCAGAAGCAAGAACAATGAACATCACCTTATGATTAATTTTATCTCACCAGACTTTTGTCCTCATTTATTTCCATTTTTTAATTAGATTCAAGAAACAAACTGCCTCTCCACTCTTTTTCCCAGGACAGATCCTTTTATAGCTGACATATGACTGTTGCCATGCCCAGGGAGGCTTTTCCATTTGACTTGCACAATAAAAATTCCATATCTCAGAATGGTTGAGGTTGGAAGGGACCCCTGGGGGTTGTCCAACCTTCCAACCTCCTGTTCAAGCAGCATCACACAGATCAAGCTGTCTAGGACCATGTCCAGACAGCTCTTGAATATCTCCAAAGGCAGAGACTCCACAACCTCTTAAGAGCAACCTGTGCCATTGTTCAGTCATGCTCACTGTGAAAAAGTGTTTCCTGATGTTCAGATGGTACCTCCTGTGTTTCAGTTTGTGCTCACTGCCTCTTGTCCTGTCACTGGGCACCACTGAAAAGAGCCTGGCTCTGTCTTCTTTGCACCTTCCCTTCAGATATTCATTTATATTGATAAGATCCCTCCTGAGCCTTTTCCTCTCCAGGCTAAACAGTCCCATCTTTCTCAGCCTTTCCTGATAGGAGAAATCCTCTAGTCCCTTAATCATCTTCACAGCTCTTTGCTGGACTCCCTCCAGTATGTCCACGTCTCTCTTGTACTGGGGAGCCCAGAACTGAACACAGTGCTCCAGGTGTGTCTCACCAGTGCTGAGTAGAGGGGAAGGATCACCTCCCTCAACCCACTGGCAACAGTCCTCCTAATGCAGCTCAGGATGGGTTTTTGCTGCAAGGGCACGTTGCTGGCTCATGGTGAACCTGGTGGTCACCAGGATCCCCCAAGCTCTTTTCTACCAAGCTGCATTCCAGCTGTTCAGCCCCCAGGATGTATTGGTGCATATGGTCCCTCCCCAGGTGCAGGGCTTTGCACTTGCCTTTGTTGAAACTTGTGAGGTTCCTGTCAGCCCGTTTCTCCAGCCTGTCAGGATCCCTCTGGATGGCATCACGACCATCTGGTGTATCAGCCACTCCTCCCACTTTTGTATCATCAGCAAACTTGCTGAGGGTCTGCTCTGCCCCATCAAACAGATCAGTGATGAAGATCTTGAACACAAATGGGC